GCAGAGACGTCCAGAACTGATAGTCAATGCTGTGATTTACGTTGACACATTGATTGCCAGCTGCAGAACATCGGAGCGGCTGTGTGTGTGTACAGCTGTGCAGTTTGGGGGGAACATTGGTGGTCTCACTAAGGCTCTACACAACTGCAGTGAGACATTTTCTCTTCTGTACTCAAACCCAGTTGAATTTAATGCCAACATACCATTTGCCTTTCTAATTGCTTGCTGCAGATGCTTGCTCACTTTTGTTGACTCATACACAAGAATACCCATGTCCCTTTGGACACCCACTCTTTCCAAACTTCTCATCATTTAAAAAATATTCTGTCTTTCTGTTTTATTTTCTCCCAAAGTGAACAATTTAATACTTATTCACATTATATCCCAGTTGCTATGTTCTAGCCCATTTGTTTAGCTTATACAAGTCCTGTTGAAGTCTCCTTGTATTATGTTCATGACTTACATTGTCACCAAGTTTGGTGTCATCAGCAAATTTGGAAAATTACACTTGATCCCTACTTCAAAATCACTTACATAGATCGCGAACAGTACTGACCCTTGCAGCATATCTACTGGTACCAGCCTGCCATCCTGAGAATGATTTGTCTATTCCTGTTCCCTACTCTAATTGTTAACCAATTCTAATTCCATTGCTGTGTATTTCCCCCAGTCACATGCATGCTAATATTATTTACTAGGATCTTATGTGACACCTTATCAAAAATCTCTGAAAATCCAAATACACTATACCGACTGGCTCTCTTTGTCTATGCTACAAGAAATATTCTTCTTCAAATTATGGTTCTATTTGTCCAAGAGGCATGACCCAGGACAGAAATCATGGGCCTTAACGCATCTTGTGTTTCCAGACTTCTTTAGTTCGGTTCAGAAGAAAATGTTTGCAGTACACTTTTTTTTCAGGAGGCAATCCTGTTGAATGCTTCAGTGGTGTCTAAAGATTTTTTTAAAAAGAGACTCACATTCCCAACCATAAACTAGGAGTGCTGTTCACTGACTCGATGCCACATGAATAATGAGCAGGACAAAAAGTATTTGCTGCTCCATGTTCAACAGTGATTTGTTAAACTTAAAAATAAATCAAAAATACGTGCAACTTGACCCAATGAGTGACGGTCTGCCAGAGGAGTTCAGTAATATCAGACATCAAATCAAAAATTTAGCTTTGAGTATTACTAGCATGGTATTATTGATAAAATGCCACAAATCTTTCCTCACCCCACAATCACAAGTTTGTAACACAAGAAACTGGCACCCATGGCTTCCATTAGTAGCCTGACACTTTATTAAAATTAAGCTAAAATTCCCATTTACTAAGCTGCAAGATTTGGATTTGTAGGCGGAAGACTTAAAAATATTAAAAGATGGTGAAAAAAGTTATCTTGAGTCCTACTGGACAATTGGATTGCTGTCTCATTAGAGAGAGATCATTGGTGGTGGTTTACCTGAGGGTCATCATATCTTAAATTAAGGATAGGTAAATGCGTGAACTGCATTACCCCAGAGCTATTAACTTTCCACCAAGGCTATTTCAGGTGTCTAATGGGAATGCTTGTAATTTTCACATCCAAACACTATAATGCTCACAAAGACCCCCCTCTCTCAATTTTCACTGTCTCCTTTTCTTGCTTGAATAGTTAGGTCAGCCCCTTTTTTGTTCTCTTTTACCAATTACTAGTTTCATAACACTTCCATGTCCTGCCTAGATTTTTGGATACACTGCTGAATTCCCTCCTGCAGCTCTAGCACTCACTTCACCGTGTGTTTAGCTCGTATTTCCCAGAAAGGACTGTGTGTCGACTCTTAATAGTAATAGGAAATGATCTTTATTGATTATAATACAATTATAATAATTATGCTACAAACTAACAGTTAACAGTATAAATCTGACAATTAAATCTAAGTCAGTATCTTGTACTTTAACTTAACTTGGAATGATCAAACATTACCTTGCTAGACCTTGGCCTTGATCCACATGGTGATGGTCGTCTGGTCTTCCTCTCCCGGTGGTCCCAGGGCCGCCTGTTCTTACGGTGGTTGGTCTTGAGTTACTGCTCCCAAGGCTGCTGTGCAGTGATTGGAAGCTTCCGTACCCCTTTGGGAGGATCTTCAATTCCCACCAGTGAATCGATCAGGAATCAATCACCCTGATTGACTGGACCCAATCAGGCAGTGCCGTGCAGATGGTGGGGTGGTCTTTGGCCCTCCATTTCTGAAAGTGTCAGGGCATGTAAGTCAGGTAGGCTTCCCAGATAAGAGTGTGACATGTCCCTTTGTTTCAGAGAAAGCTCGATGTTTCCGATTGTCCTGGTAAATAGGCTTAGTCATTGAGATTTTTCTGAAGAAGGGTCTAGGCCTGAAACGTCAGCTTTCCTGCTCCTCTGATGCTGCTTGGCCTGCTGTGTTCATCCAGCTCTACACCTTGTTATCTCAGATTCTCCAGCATTGGCAGTTCCTATTATCTCTGAAACAATTGTGTATTGTGCTGTCTGCAGCTGCTGCTTGCCTGCCTGGGTCTGCAGCTTGTTTATTTCAGTGTCTTTTATCCGGATATTTTGGCCAATGCTTGGCTCAATTTGCCAGCATGCTTTATTATCCAATTCTGCCATTTTTTGTGGCCCATCCAGCAACATAGCCGATGTCTGTACAGGGCTGGAGTTGTACCACCTTGTCTAATTTCTTCCATAACAGTCTATTCCCCCGTTCCTGGGTTTATTCTTTTTGTCCTTGAACAAGTCATTTCCTTCACTTTTTGTTGTATTGCACATTTCTTAGCTATCATATTTGGCATGGAACCGAAATTAGCTTCTATTTGTTTTGAGCTTCTACTGTACATTGTGTTGCATGGCATCATCACTGTGTTAAATAGGATGGATTCAGAACAGATCCAGGAGCTCAAAAGTGGGCATCTACAGGTCCTCACTCGTGGTAGAATTGTAATCTATTGCAATCTGTAAGTGCATCCCAGTAGATTCCTCACTCTTATCATTATGATTAAGCCAAGGAAATAATACTGGTCCAATTAAGAGTGTGGGAAAACAGCAAAACGTATAGTTAAAATTCGGTGTCAACCTGAAGAAGTAGCCTTCTGCAGATCAAAGCTCTGCAGTAACGACACATTCAATTGTAAATGCGGACAAACCATTAAATAGTTAACAGGATGGGGAGTTTCTATAAACATTGTTACAATACAAACTTTATAGGATTATTATTGTTTAAGACTGTGTCTTTCTAATTTAAGGTAAAATGGAGAAAGAAAATGAGTGTCAAGTGACCTGTTCTGAATTCTGCCCATTACTAAGGCTGGGTGCTTGTTTGCTATAGAGTCAGTGAGATCCGGGTTGACTTACTGGGAGGAAGGTACAAGATGTTCGTACCTGGAGAAATGCTGAACAGCAGTTGTGCTGACTGTGGATGGACTATTAGTCTTGAAGTTTCACGGGAAGATATTAGGTACATCATGCTTTATTAACAGATTTTAAACCATGTTTAATTCCAAGACAGAATGGAATTAGGTCAATAAGATAACTAGTTAGCATTTCTACCTGGATACAAGGCTGAAATGATTAAAATTGCCACAGGGATAGGCTTTGAAAAGGCCATAAGCCATAAGAAATCCCTGTAACATTGTGTTGCAGATTTTCTAAAATATCCCTGAAATGCACAGTCTGCAGGAATCTGAGAGAGGGAGCAGGATGAAATGAGACAGTCAATGCTGCAGTAAGGCAGAAAAAATGCTGACTCTGTTGGTCACCACACACACTCAGAATGAAGTGATCAAGTCTACTAAAATTTAAAGGAAGCTAGTAGATTCACCTAGCATGGGCTAAGGGTAAGGAATCTCCAGTGGACTCCTTGCAATGAAAGTCAGTCTTGGGATAAGAAATTACTCAGCTGAGAAAGGGAAAAAAGAAGCAAACCCTTGGAAGTTGGTAATAACTTAAATCTGGTTCCTGGAAAGTGAATTGTTCACTTACGGTTAGTGTAAGGTATAAATATTGGAAGCTTTTCAGTTGTGCTAAAAGATAAATGGGAAATTTCTTCTCCTGTAGTTGATAGTTTACATTGCTTACAAATATAATGCATAGCCAATGTTGCTTTTAGTTTTGGAGACAGTAAGCACTGCAGATGCTGGAAGCTAGAGTCAATAAATGTGGGGCTCAAAAAGCACAGCCTGGCAGACAGCATCTGAGCAGCAGGAAAGTAAACATTTTGGGCCAGAAAAAGTGCTGGAGGCTGGTAGAATTACAACAATTAGGAGGCAAGTGGGTGGGTATAGGAATAGGAAGGGTTTAGGGGGATATGGGCCAAATGCTGACAGATGGAACTAGGTCAGATTACGACGTCTGGTTGGCGCAGATGAGTTGGACTAAAGCGTCGGTTTCTGTGTTGTCTCTTTGACTCTAGTCTGCAGCATAGAAGGAGGCTATTCAACCCATTGTGCCGGCACTGACTCTTCAAATGGGCACCATTACCTAATACAAATCTCCAGCTTCTTCCCCATACTCTTGCACACTATTTCAATCCAGATAATCATCCAATGCCCTCTCGAATGCCTCAATTGAACCTGCCTCCATCACATTTCCAGACAGTGAATGCCATACCCTAACTACTTGCTGCGAAAAAGTTTTCTCACAGCACTGTTGCTTCTTTTGCATATGACTTTAAATTTATGCACTCTCAGTCTTGTTCCTTTAATGAGTGGAAACAGCTTCTCCCTATCTCCTCTATCCGTTCTGTTCTTATTTTGAAGCCCTCTTTCAAATCTCATCTCAGCCTGCTTCTCTCCAAGGAAAACAGTTCCGACTTCTACAATCTATCCCTCATAACTGAAATTTCTCATTCCTAGAACCATTCTTGTAAATCAATATTCCAATAGCAGTGCTGAAAACTTCTGCCTCAGAACGATCCGTGTCCTAGCCAAGTTCTTTCAGGACAGTTACAATACTGACATCTATTCTACAAAGTGAAAAATTACCCAGGTACATCATGATCACTGACAATACAATGTATCCAAACTGGCTGAGTACTTCGCCTCTGGGCAGTGCTGAGGGATATCCAATAGTGATATGAATCAGCACTTGTTCACCAAAATGTCTTCACAGAATCTCAGTTTGGATTCTGCGAGGAATACTTATGCCCAGACCTTATTAAAATCCTGATTCAAATATGGACAAAAGTGTTGAATTCCAGTTAGATTCTGGTGAGAGTGACAGTCTTGATATCTAGCAGCACATGACTTAGTGTGACATCAAAAAGCTCTTGTAAACTTGAATTTAATGCAAATCAGAGTTAAAATTATCGATTTTCTGGAGTTATACCTTGCACAAAGCCAAATGGTTGTGGTTGTCTGAAGCTAATCATCCCAACCGCTGTCCTCAATACAGATGTTCTTCAAGGCCTAACCAGCTTTAGATGGGTCATCAATTATACTCTCCCTTATATAAGTACAGAAATGAGGGCATTTTCTGATAATTTAAAGTGTTTAAAATTTTTTTCTGAAGAAGGTTCTAGGCCCGAAACGTCAGCCTTCCTGCTCCTCTGATGCTGCTTGGCCTGCTGTGTTCATCCAGCTCTACACCTTGTTTTCTCAGATTCTCCAGCATCTGCAGTTCCTACTATCTCATTAACTCAAATGTGTTCGATTTGATCAGACATTTACTTATATAGCGAACTAATGATTAATATTTATTATAAGTATTAAGGCCATATGCAGTTGTTACAGTGATCCCAACAATTACAGTTTGTTGTTTATTTCTGTCTTCTGGGAGTTGCCAAAGTCACAATGCTCGTAGGCATTTTCATAGTTGGTGTCACCACACTGGAAGTTGTGGGTCAATTCTGAAGAATGTCAAACAGAAATTTCTCTTCCCATTTATATATTGCTACATAAAAGATTAGTTCTTGGACACACATACACACCCTATCCTTTAGTGACATTATTTATGGATACAATACCAGGTTCCACGCACAATACCACTCTAACACCTCCCTCAAACCCTTCAATGCCCCCCGTCATACTCCTTATCTAACATCCAGTCTTCAAATTTCTCTGGTTAAATATTGGAAAAACTAAAAAGATTGTTCGCGGCTCTAACAACGAGGCTCCTGGGCTCATCAATTCTGTGAATCTAATCTGCGTTCCCTTATTTTCTCTGAACATTTCGTGGTTAGAAAATTACTGCATGTTTAGATTTAGATGTCAGGCGTTTTTTTTCCAAAAAAAATTTTAAAAGTCGTAAGTTTTCCATTTGCCAATAAAGCAATCATTTTGGCCATCCCTTCATCACTTACATTACTTTCCACGGTCTGCAATAGCTTCCCCAAACTACTCCATCACTTCAACCCCTCCTTAAAACCTTCCTCTCCGAGTCAGTTTTGTATCTGTCCCTCTTTGGCAGCGTGTCCAACCTCCTTAAATTTCTATGAAGTGCATTGGGGTGTTTATCTATTTTCAAAGACAAAAGCTTAGCTGTAAATTGTTCTATGAGTTAGCATCAACCTTATCTAACAATATAGTCTCCCTGTTCTGGGATAGTGCCAAAAACATTCCGCAAGTATGAAGAAAACACAACTTCAATCGATTGGTTGCGTCTGATGCATGTAAATGAGATAAAGCGGCCAAGGTTGAGATTCGAGCAGCGCCAACGGACAGGTTACATTGTTTATCTGGACACGATAGTGCAAAAGTTCTGTCTTTATGGAGTTACCACAATGACAGCGGAAAACCTAAAATTCCTGGTAAAAAGGCAGTTATCATTCACTGGTTTTACCAACTTTCAGGGTAGAAGGAGAAAATGTCATGCATTCGGGACTGACCAAGAAAGCTTGCTTCCAATTGACCAACAAATCACGGTGGATAACATAAAGCATTTCAAAGCTAAGTTGAACAAAGTCGCTACTCTCCCAACTGTTAAAGAGATTCAGGAGACAGCAGATGGACTTCAATGCGAAAGCACCGAGCAACCAGAACAGGTCAAAAAGACAGCAAATTCTAAAAAAGTTCACATTGCTTTAATTCCAGACAGATACGAGCCTTTGATCGAGTCTGTGGGAGAAAGTCCGAATGCGGAGAGCAAAGCAGCCAAAAAATACAAAAGGAAGCAAAAGCTTAAAAAATGCAAGAAGGTAAGAAAATAGACCTTCAAAATATTGGAAAATTCGTAAGGCTGTTAATTGTCGAATGGTAGAAGGTCAAGCGTTTCTGCACTGCTACCTGTACATATCTCATACATTGCCTCTCAGATGAGTTTCTCTTGACTGGTTAGATCGGAGGGTTGGCTTAATGTTATAAATTAAACGTTTTTTTTTGTTGCATTCTCCAAGGCAGTCACTCCTCAAAGTAACAAACTCGAAGCAATATGATATAATTTTAAGTTTGATCTCGCAGATTTTGGCAAATCTGCACCAAATCTCGCTGTTCCTCCCATTACCTCAGTCAGACCGGTAGATCCTTCCTGAAGTATAACGCCAAGAACTCGAACGCTGTTTTCCAGATCAATATAACCGTAACCCCCTAATTTCCACAGCTACCGTGACTCAGCCGCTTCACAGCCCGCTTCCTGTCCATTCTCCTAGTGATATAGACCGGGTTGGAGGGAAGACGTGGAGGAGTGGCATTTCTGAATAGCTCCTTAGAGAGCTAGCATGGGCAATGGGACGAATGGCTGTCTTCTGTAATGATGTCTCCGGTGCATCTGTTCGGAAGATGCAGCCGTTTATACCAGCGTTTCCAACTTTGTCTTCCCTTCTTCTCAACTGAGGCTACTATCTACGCTAATGTGATTGTTGCATTTTATGCAATTCTACTTCTTTCCCCTTTGCCACACTCCTAGAACCTGGATACCGAACCCCTTGTCATCAATTTCCACTCCACAAGCTCCGCTTGTGTACTTCACAATCGTTTGCTATTTTTGTCTCCTGAGCATGATGTCACCAACAAATACATATTGCCCTCCTTGTGAAGGTACAGGTCATGACTCAAGGATGGCCAGATTTATGAGCTTCTACAGGCGCTAAATTCTCTGGATAATCTAAATTCTTGTCCAAATTGTGTCAAAAATTATGTTTCTCATTAGAATTGTACAGATGTCTCTAAAGACAGATGACACAAAAGCAAATCATATCTTTATTGTACTGGAACATATTCTTTCCCTCATAATGGGTAATATATTTAGGTCCCTAAATCCTTCAGTAAATGTCTCTTTTAAATCAGGTCAATTAATATGATCAAAAGTATCATCAAACTCAATGGTTTTGTACTTTGAATTATGGCTTGCATCATCATTCCCTCCTATCTTGATGTGTCATCCTGACTTTTGTAGATCAATGGAATACATGAGGACTATGAATATACTTAGATCATTTGCTATGTTGAGGATTGTGGTCCTAAAATTCTGCAAAACCTCTCAACTGCTTGCCTTACTTTGTCAGTTAACCAATTCACCTCCTGGAAGAATGTACAAATGGCCCATTTCAGCTGTTTTTACCATTTCTTCTGCGATTATTGATCTTCTACCAAAGTTGATATTCTCAATAGTCGATACAGTGTGGAGCTGGAGGAACACAGCAGGTCAGGCGGCATCAGAGGAGCAGGAGAGTCAACGTTTCGGGACTAGACTCTTCATCAGGATATTCTCAATACTCAAGTGTCAGGGAATGACCATCTCTAACAAGAGAGAGTCTAACGATCTGCTCTTCACAATTAATGGCATTAGTATCACTGAGTCCCCAGTTATCAACATTCTGGAGTTAGCATTAATTAGAAACTGAACCAAACACCCATATAAATAACTGTATCTACAAGAGTAGGTCACTCACTGGAAGCTCAAATGCAATTAACTCAACACCTGCCTGCTCAGAAGCTGTACACTATCTGCAAGGCACATGTGTGTGATGGAATGCTGTCATGGAAACATAGAAGATAGGAGCAGGAGGAGGCCATTCGGCCCTTTGAACCTGCTCCACCATTCGTCACGATCATGGCTGATCATCCAAATCAATAGCCTAATCCTGCTTTCTCCCCATAACCTTTGATCCCATTTGCCCCAAGTACTAGATCTAGCCGCCTCTTGAATACAGTCAATGTTTTGGCATCAACGATCTCCTGTGGTAATGAATTCCACAGGCTCACCACTCTTCGGGTGAAGAAATGTCTCCTCATTTCCATCCTAAATGGTCTACCCTGAATCCTCAGACTGTGACCCCTGGTTCTGGACACATCCACCATTGGGAACATCTCATTAGAATTTTACAAGTCACTCTGAGATTCCCCCATCATTTGTCTGAACTCCAGCAAAAACAATCCAATCCTAACCTAGTCAATCTCTCCTCCTATGTCAGTCCCGCCATTCCTGGAATCAGCCTGCTAAACCTTCGCTGCACTCCCTCGACAGCAAGAGCATCCTTCCTCAGAAAAGGAGAACAAAACTGCAAACAATATTCTAGGTGTGGCCTCACCAAGGCCCTGTATGACTGCAACAACACATTCCTGCTCCTGTACTTGAAACCTCTTGCAATGAAGGCTAACATACCTGATGAAGAGTTCAGACCTGAAACGTGGACTTTCCTGCTCCTTCGATGCTGTCTGAGCTGCTGTGCTCCTCCAGCTACACATTTTATCGAATCTGCCTTCCAGCATATGCAGTCCTTGCTATCTCCAACGTACCATTTGCCTTCTTTACTGCCTGCTGCACATGCATGCTTACCTTCAGCAACTGGTGCAGAAGGACACTGAGGTCCTGCTGCACAGTCCCCTCTTCCAGTTCACAGCCATTCAGGTAGTAATCTGCCTTTGCCTAGATGGGTACAGCTCTAAAGACAAGCTTAAGATTATCCAAGGCAAAGCAGCTGACTTCACTGGTGCCCCATCCACCACATTGTGTATTTGTCCTCTTCACCACTGATAGAATAGTAGCAATGTTTACCATTTACAAATTGCATTGTTGTAACTTATCAAAGATCCATTGACCATACCTTCTAAAGCTCTCACCTCTAAAACCTGGAAGGACCCGAGGACAGCAGATAGACAAGTACACTATCCCCTTGCAAGTTTTCCTCCAAGCCACACTATCCTGACTTGGAAGTATGTTATCATTCCTAAACTGTCATTGAGTCCAAATTCTGGAATCCTTCTCAACAGCAGTGTTACTCTTGCAATCCCATCACACCACAGAGCCTGAACTGACAGCACAGTGCAGGTCCAGCAGAGGAGTTTGTAGTGAGCCAGGAGGGGAGAATAAAAGAGGGCAATGACTGTGGAGGGGTCCTCTGGTGACCATACCATCCAAGGAATCCCCCTCTTTCACCCTACCTTGGAAGGGATTGCCCTACTGCTCCCAGCTCTCCAGCCACTGTGCCTGACACCAGCCTATACAGTTAAAATTGTTGGGCTTCCTGATTGGTGTGGGTGCCTCCTCATCCCATTCCTATGAATGTAATATCAGTGGGGATATGAGTCCCTTTATATTGCTATTGGTTGGACTCAAGTGCGTGAATTAGCACGAGGGCAGAAGTTGCTGAGAATAAAGGGTTGACATATAAAAATAGACTGGAAAGGCTGGAACTTTTTCCACTGGAGTTTGAGGGGTGACCTTATGCAGGTTTGTAAAAGCATGTGGGGCAAAGATAACATGAATGACAAGGGTCTTTTCCCTAGGGTGGGGAAGTTCAAAACCAGGGGTCATATATTTAAGGTGAGAGGAGAAAGATTTAAACAGGACATGAGAGGCAACCTTTTTACACAGAGAGTGGTTAGTGTGGAATGAACTGCCAGAGGAAGTGATGGATGCAGGTACAATATTTGAAAGGCATTTGGATAAGTTCATAAATAGGAAAGATATGGAAGGATATGAGCCAAGCACAGGCAGGTGGGACAAGTTTAGTTTGGGAACATGGTTGACGTGGACTGGTTGGACTGAAGGGTCATTTTCCATGCTCAATGACTCTATGGTGTGATTCTCCATTTATTTATTTGATGGCAAGATTGAATGAATACAGGTCCCCACTGATTTTGCACGTTCCACCAGCTTCTTATCAGCCAGCAGGTGTGAATAAATTCCAACTTTGTGAATTGGACACTGGACCCAATAATTTTCTTTGGCAATAAGGTTCATCTGTGAAATAATTTCAGGTCATTTCTACATAGTTTCTAAATAAACATTTCAGAGTTCACCATAATTTGAGTCCAAATTTTGTTTGGAAAAATCATAAAAGTTGCTGAAGTGTAAAGATACCATTACCCTGTAGTACAGGAACATGTGCTTGTTTAGGTCGAAGTAAAAACATACTTGTTGGGCAAAATAAATGGGCATAAGATTTTAAATGGAGCTACAACCTAGCAAAGTGACCGTGCTTGAGGCTGACACTGAGTGGAAAAGTATAATATTTCTGCACTTTGACTGTCATCATTTTCATGCTTGCATTGAAATTGATGTTTTTAGGTGGAATGCTTTCCCTTAAGTTAGAATATGCTTACATTCAGTTAGAATTCTTGGCTTTACAGGTGAAAGAATGTACAAAAGGGGAACATTTCGACACATATACAACACAGAAACATTTAACACAGACAGCTCTCCAGTAGTACACTCTACTACATACCTTTGGCCACCTACACAGAAATAGTTTTGTTTTGTCTGAGCACAGTATTGTGATCAGTATCTTTAGCACCTGATATTTAACTCCTGGTTGATGTATTCATATTTACAGACTTGTACTAATCCATCACCAGCAGTCGGCAAAAACAACAAATATTGCAGGCAATGTTGGGATTTGTCCCATACATTTGATAATTTTCTTTTAAGGCAACAGTGAAAATTACATTGAAGTTTGAAGTTTATTTGTGGACTACCTGCTTGCCATTTATGTCCCTCAGCAGATTTTTCAACAATGACAAGCAGGCTATTCAATGTCAGTAAAGCTAAGATTCAATTCATTTCCTTGCTTTCTAGTAAAGAGAGATAGAAAATGCTATTAGAACATCCAAGCTGCTGCTTGCAAGGAGCAAGTGTAAAGATTTATCAAATATAATGCTAAAGTTCTGATGTTATTTGTTTTTTACTGCCAGTAGGGAAGTGCCTAACCAGCTGTCAATTACCTATTGTTTATTACAATTGGTATTGTAAAATCACACATAGGGTGGGGGAAGACTTGATGGGTTGAATGGCCTCTTTCTGCACTGTAGTGATTCTATGGTTCCAAATCATATCCATCAGTTAGGGGTGCAGTGTACTGGAGCATGACAGTCATTCAAGTATTGTAATACTTTATTGAAGAATAGAACATTGACATAATTTGTACTCTGGATGATCACTTTTTGGTAATTCAAATATTCAACTGTCTAATAATGCTAATTTTTACTCTTTAGAACATTTTAAAAGTCCTTCATGCTGGATGGAATTACTTTGTACTTGGCGTTCAAGAATTTGCAAACAATTATACAATGCCATACGCAACCTCATTTACTGTGATTTCTGAGATGCGCTGAAGGACTGAGAGAACATTGAGAGATTTCACACATTGTTGAATTTCTATGTTAATAATGCAAAATTTTTCAATCTGTTTGTAACTTTAAAATATTAATTTATGCTCAACCTGAATCTGTATAGTTATTATAAAGATAAATGATGGTTTTCTTGCAAGCTAAAGCCAAAGGCTACAGTAGATGCTGGCATTATGAATCTTTCATACATGCATTACCTTTTTAATAGGCTAATCAATTACCCAAAGGCAAATATATGGCTTTTGTTCATGATTGCTGCTGCAAGTATATTGTACTATCACAGACCTGTATTCATAAATATTCGTTTTTAGATGTAACCTTGTTCTCATTCTAATCGCTATTAAATTACAGATTTTATACATAATAGTTTCCTTTGTCAGTTCCAACTTATTTAGAATGTTTGGTTTATTTCCATTGTCATTAGAAACTATGCACAGTAGTTGATTAATGCAAAGACTTGTGTCTTTATTGGTCAGTCATTGCAATACAGCCACAGCTGTACATTCATGAATGATTTTCCATCTCTGAACTATTACTAAGCCAAATAAATAAGTTTAGGAGTGCAGAAAAGTCGCTTGTATGCACTGATAGCTTTTTTTGCTGGCATTATTCCATTACATAAAAAAGACCGAAACAATTGAACTAATTTGATGAAGAGAGACAGGATTGATTGGAGCTATATTGACTGGTTTTATAGAATAATGATTGGGGATCTCTTAGAAACTTTTAAAATTCCAACAGAACTAGACAAGGTAGATGCAGGAAGGATGTTTCTGAATGGGTGGGGGGCATGGATGGTGGAGGGGATGTGAAATACCCAGAACTAGAGATCACAGTCTAACGTTATGGAGAAGGCCATTTAGGATTGACATAAGGAGAAATTTCTCACCCAGAGAGTGGTGAGCCTGTGAAATCTCCTGCAGAAAGAAGTTGAAGCCAAAACATTATTGTTTTTAGGAAGGAAATAGATCCATTTTGTTCTGAGGGCTAAATGAATCAAAGGGTAAGGGGCAAAAGTGGGAGCAGGTACTGAGGAGGATGATCATATTGAATGATTATTGTATTGAGCGTACCCAAAGGGCTGAATGACCTGCTCCTGTTCCGATTTTCTGTATTTCTATAACGGTAGCAAAGGAAACATTTGTTTGTAAAGACTTCTTAACAAAACATTAATGATGTCATCAGAACATAATGTTATTCTGCTGAAGGTAACGACGAGACAGGAAATACCTTATTTAAATAAACAGAAAAGTCTTGAAACACACATTTCATCACTCATATATGAGAAGAACTGTTGACATCATGAATGTTCCTTTCTTTGAAACCGTAAAGAGCCAAACAAGAATACCAATATGAATTAGCAAACAGAGGATAATATACATTCCATCAAAAAAAAACAGGCAAACACACAGAGGCACAATCAGTGGAATTAAAACAGATATAGTCAAGAAATGGACAAAAACATTATAACAATAAAGGAATACGGAATTAAAGTTCACGCTACCTACATATTGCAATAGTTTGAACTGTTCATGGGATCAGCACACAAACAGTTAAAACAACTTCCTGTGAATCTTTGACAACAAGGTGCAGAGCTGGATGAACACAGCAGGCCAAGCAGCATCATAGGAGCAGAAAGGCTGACATTTCGGGCCTAGACCCTTCATCAGAAATGGGGGAGGGGAAGGGGTTTCTGAAATAAATAGGGAGAGAGGGGGAGGCGGATAGAAGATGGATAGAGGAGAGGATAGGTGGAGAGGAAACAGACAGGTCGAAGAGGCAGGGATGGAGCCAGTAAATGTGAGTGTAGGTGGGGAGTTAGGGAGGGGATAGGAAGTCCAGGGAGGACGGACAGGTCAAGGGGGCGGGATGAGGTTAGTAGGTAGGAGATGGGGGTGTGGCTTGAGGTGGGAGGAGGGGATGAGCTGGATTGGTTTTGGGATGCGGTAGGGGGAGGGGAGATTTTGAAGCTTGTGAATAAGAGATTCACATCATGTTCAGCGGGTAAAGGGAAGGCAACTGGAATGTTGGCCTTCTTTCAATGGAAATGGAGTATACAAGTAGATAGGTTTTGCTAAAATTGTAAAATTGTACACTGCCCTAGTCAAACAACAACTAGAACACTGTGAATAGTTTTGGACCTTTATTTAGGAAAAATACACTTGCATTGGAGGCAGTCTAGAGAGGCTTCACTAGGCTGATACCAGGTCTGAAGGGGCTTGCTTATGAGAAGAGGTTGAGTAGATTGGGCCAGTACTCATTGGAATATAGAAAAATGAGAGGCAACCTTATTAAAACAAGATTCTTAGAGGACTTGACAGGGTAGATGCAGAAATGTTGTTTTCCCAAGTGGGAAGATCTAGACCAGAGAACATAATCTCAGAGTAAGGGGTTGCCCATTTAAGACAGTGATATGGAGGAATTTCTTCTCTCAGAGAATTGTGAATGTATGGAATTCTTTACCACAGAGGGTTTTTGAGGTTAGACCATTACATATATTCAAGGCTGAGATGGGCTGATTTTTTATAAGTTACGGAATCAAGGGTTATGCAGAAAAGACAGGAAAGTGGAGTTGCTGATTATCAGATCAGCTATGGTCTCACTAAATGGTGGTGCAGACTTGATAGGCTGAAAGGCCTACTTCTGTTCCTGTGTCTTATAGTCGAAGTCTTGCCCCATCATGACTGAGCCATATGTCACCTCTTCTTTGTAATTATGAAGGTTTAGAACTCTGATCTAATGAACAGCGCCAGGGACCCAGGTTCAGTTCCACCCTCAGATGACTGTCCGTGTGAAGTTTGTGCACTCTCCCTGTGTCTGCTTGGGTTTCTTCCGGGTCCTCCAGTTTGCTCCCACAGTCTAAGGATGTGCAGGTTAGGTGGATTGGCCATGCTAAATTGCCCAGAGTGTCAAGTGATGTGTATGTTAGGTGGATTAGCCATGGGAAACACAGGGTTACAGGGATAGGATAGTTGGGTGAGCCTGGGTGGGATGGTGTGCGGAGAGACGGTGTTGACTTGTTGGGCTGAATGGCCTATTTCCACTCTGTAGTGATTCTATTCTAAGGGGCGACATGGTGGCTCAGTGGTTAGCACTGCTGCCTCACAGTGCCAGAGACCTGGGTTTGATTCCAGCCTCGGGCAACTGTCTGTGTGGAGTTTGCATATTCTCCCCATGTCTGCACAGGTCTCTTCCGGGTGCTCCGGTTTCCTCCCACAGTCCAAAGATGTGCAAGTTAGATGGATTGGCCATGGATTTGTCCATTGTGTCAAAGGATGTGAAGTTTAGGTGGATTTGCCATGGTAGGTGCGGGGTTACAGGGATAGGAGGACACAGTACACCCTAACACACTAGCCACATAGCCCTGCATCATGAACATATTGGAACTGACAACAAGACTGCTATGACTACTAGGAATCATGGTGGCCCACAGCCCCCCTCCAGCAAACACTCACAAGGATTAGAAACCCCATTCCCACAACATCGGTTTACAAAATACCATGCCATGATTGCCATAAACATTACATTGGACAGACAGGAAGGAAACTAGCAATCAGAATACACAAACATCAGTTAGCAACAAAACGGCACGACAAACTCTCCTTAATTTCGGTACACACAGACAATGAGGGCCATCAGTTTAACTGGGACAAGGTAATCATTGTAGCCCAGGCCAAATATAGACACACGCAGGAATTCCTAGAGGCATGGTTCTCCACCCATAATGTAATTAACAAACACATAGAATGGACCCCATGTACAAACCCATACAGATCAAAACCAGAAACGACACTACTCGCCATAACGGACCGGACAGTATAAATTCCAAGCAGAGCAGAATGACATTGTTTCATCGGAGACCTTAATGATGATGTTACCTAGCATGGTGATGAAACGTTTGAACAAAAACAAGCCAGCTCGTCGAGCAAGTCAACAACGTCAGGGAGGATGTGAATTTAGTCAAAAGGGAAAATAAAACACATGTAATGTTTAGGAAGCTAAAATCGGACAGAGCCATGAAAATATAAAGAAAGCAGGAAAGAACTCAAGCGGGGAATTAGGAGAGCAAGGAGAGGCCATGAAATGACCTTCGCAAGTAGGGTTAATGAGAATTCCAAGGCATTATATATATACATTAAAAACAAGAGGAAGAGGGTAGGACCACTCAAGGATAAAGGAGGGAACTTATGCTTGAAGGTAGAGGATGGGTAAGAGATCCTAAATGAGTACTTGCATCAGTATTCTCCCAGGATAAGGACATGGAGGATAGTGAGATTAGTGTGGAGTATGCTAACATGTTAGGACATCTTGAGATCAAGACAGAAACGGTGTTGAGTCGCTTGATAGCATTAAAGTGGATAGGTCCCCAGGGTCCAATGGTATCTACCCCAGGTTATTGACAGAGGCATGAAAGGAGATTACTGGGCCCTTAACCAAGATCTTTATTTCCTCGCTGGCCACTGGAGAGGTCCCTGAGGACTGGCAAGTAGCTACTGTTGTTCCTCTCTTCACGAAGGGAAACAGGGATAACCCAGGAAACTTTAGACCGGTAAATCTCACATCTGTGGTTGGGAAGCTATTGGAGAGAACTCTTAGCAATAGGATTTGTGCGCATTTGGAAAAGCATGGTCAAATTAAGGTTAGTCAGCATGGCTTTGTGCAGGGTAGGTCATGTCTAAGTAACTTGATTGAATTTTTCAAGGAGATGGTGAAGGTGTTCAGTGAGGGTAGAGCAGTGGAAGTTGTCCACATGGATTTTAGTAAGGCTTTTGATAAGCCTCACCCAGAAGATTAAGATGCATGGGATCCATGGTGACTTGGCTGCTTGGATTCAGGTTTGGATTGCCCATAGAAGGCAAAAGGTAGTGGTGGAAGGGTGTTTTCAGGCTGGAAGTACAAAACAAGTGGTGTTCCTCAGGGATCCATACTGGGATCTTGCTGTTTGTGATATACATAAATGACTAGGATGAAAGTAACGTTGGGTGGGTTAGTAAGTTTGCAGGCAACACAAAAGATCAGTGGAGTTGTGGATAGTGTAAAAGATTGTCAAAGGATACAAAGGGATATAAATCAGTTGCAGAAATGGGTGGAGAAATGGCAGATGGAGTTTAATCTGGGCAATCATCATAATAATCAAGAGTGGTCAGTGTCTCGATGCTGGGGATATTGACCTGGTCGAGGACGATGGTGTTAGTGCACCTTTTCTTCCCCAGCGGATTCATGGGATTTTTTGCAGGCAGTGTTGGTGGTACTGCTCCTGTGCTTTGAGGTGTCCACGTCTCTGGCCATAGAAGAGGGCAGGAACCACCACAGCTTTGAAAACCATGATCTTGGTGTTGGATCTGACGTTGTTGTCCTCAAACACATTTTTTGTCAGGTGGCTGAGGACTGTACCAGCACACTGGGGGCAGTGCTAGATTTCTTCATCAAGAGCTGCTTTGATTGACAAGACAATCCTGAGGCATTGAAAGTGGTCAGCGTTCTCTAAGGTCTCCCCGTTGACCTTGACGATCGGGCATTTGCTCCACAGGCCTAGGCCAAGTTGGTAGAGGACCTTTGTCTTGCTGAT